TGAAGGAATATTTGGATGCAGTCTCCATCTTATTACTCTCAATGAACCTGAGGACAACAACAACAACAACACATGTTAGTAATAAGCTTATGGTATGGTAACACACTCAGCACATGTCTCTGTGAATGGATGTATGAAATATGGTTCTGGTTCTGGTCAAATGTGTACAGTTTTAAACAAAATATATTACATTTGCTGAAAATATGTCTAAAAATGTTGGTTGTGGGCAAACAAGTGAAGAATATTCTTTAAACCAAATTAAATTAAACCACTAGAGGGCCTCAATTACTCTCAGAAAGAGCAAAATCCACCCAGAAAACCTCATGTTTAAGATCACGATGTGCCATTTTAACCTAATTTACAGCTAAATTAAGTAATTAAGTACAACACTCATGTTAATGCCTCTGATATATTTTTTAATAAACACTGAAATAACTTACAGATACTCCAGATGTGAGAGGCCGGAGAACGCATCGTCCCGTACAGTTGTGAGAGAATTGGAATTCAAAAGCCTGATGAATAATAAAAACACTTTAGAAGATGCTGGCTGTCAACAAGAGGCACTGTTTTATAGAGGATATTTCTACGATTTTTCTTTCAGTGATCAAAATACAGCATAATCATCCCAGCCTCATTCCAACACATGTCAAATCAAATGTGATAAGAGTAAAAAAATTTCAAGAAAAAACATCTATCCAAATCAACTGCATCCTCTATCAAACACAGGAGCAAACCACCATATTGTTCTGAAATAAAACTCCTATTTAACTCACCGAAAAGACAATCCCCTTGTGCAAAAAGTCAATTTTAAAGGTGAGACCATACGCACAAAATCATTGTTGTTGTTTTTATGCAGATAGGATTATGGACTTTAATTAAATGTCATCTTTCAGGCTCTAGTGCAAAGAAAATAGATTTAGAAGTTTATTTTCCTAACTTTGATTCAGTCAGAACATGATGCCTCATTTGCATATATAAATACAACAATTGTTTTAATTGAAAAGACAAAATGAAATGCAATTAATAACCGCAAGAGTTTAATGTTAGATCTATTAGTTGAGATGGTTCCGTATACCTGTAGTGTCTTGAAATAAAATAGCAAACGCGCTGCACTCTCATCACAAAATCAATCTGGCTGTTAATCATCATGTGTGTTATGACTTTGGTTAAACACTCTACATCTGCCACACCTTTGTTTCTGAATCACAGTCGTCACTAGTGGAGTAACTGAAGACAGATGGCCTCCAAGTATGATACGACATGTGACTGCACTGAGAGCTTTAAAAGGTGTCCAAACCTTTTAAATCCTTCCTGCTAATTGCTCTAAGATGCACCAAAGACACTTAATGCTTTACTGTGTCTGTGTTAAAACCACGCACATCAGGAAGTCAGCTACTGGACATATCTTTACTTCAAAAGCACCACAAACTTGATCAATAAAAGCCAATATTATAGCGTATTGTTGCTGTTTATAAAGGGTTTTTTATGTGTATTGCACCAAGTGGTGAATGAAATTAATGAAGTAAATGTAGGCTACTCGAGAAATCTATTTCAGAATAGATTTAGACCATTTCCATTTAATGCTGCTTTATACTCTAGGGCTAGGCTACTATTTCAAAGTAAAATATTGTACTTTTTACTACCCTGCATTTATCAAAAAGCATTCGTTTTTTAAGATTTGACGTAAAACATACGTCATCATTAAAACACAAACAATTCTTAACATTTTCAGCATTGTGAGTAGTTTTACTCATGATACTTGGCTGATAATCTGACTTTTTTTAGGGGGGTATTTCCCCAGACTGGTATGAGTACTTTTAGGATCTAAATACTGATTACATCTTTACACTTTGAGGTCTCTACCACTGTTGAATTCTTCACATTGGTTTTGCAAGTCACCAATTTGTTGTTCAATCAATCAGTGTTCCTGGTTCTGCCCTAAAAAAGGAGCCTTTGCTACGCGGTAAGGTAACTCATGCTCTAACAGAGGAATAGTGTGCTGTTGCTCTTACAGTAGCTGGAGGGATGGCATGTGAGCAAACATCGCCTCTTTGACCTCAGAGAAAGTCCCATTGACGAGGCTCCTGTAAGGAAGGAGCAGAAACGATGAGCAAATCAACATCATAGAGGACTGCATTGCTTTTCCACAGCAGCTCTTATTAAGATGATGAACATCATATAGCTAGCGACAACTGGTATCTGCTTTACGCATGAAAACATCGAGCTACTCACAGGGAATTAACGTCGTTGGGGCTAATCCTGGGGACATTGGAGGACCCGACGCAGATGATGGACTCCCTGGAGCAGCTGCATGTTGAAGGACATCGGAAAGCCTTCTTTAAATGAGCCGGCTGCGATAGGAAGCAGAGCCAAACAGAAAATAATGTCCAGATCTTGAGAGTTGGCAACATCTTTCTTGCCAGGGTTGCATGTGTGGGGTTTTTCTGAGAGCGCGAAGAGCGTTTACACCCTGCACCATGAAATGCTGCACTGACTGCCTGACATCAGCAAATCAGCTGCAGCTCCTCCGCGTGCACTCTCATTATTTATTAAGGCTCAGCTCCCGTACGGTGACTGTGGGTTAAAACAGCCATGCGCCATACATGCAGAAGAACTTCATCTAGCAATCACGGCTTTTGGGGGATATATGTTGCATTCATGGGCATTATAGTTGTATATCATGAGGCTGAGCAGATATATACTGCGTGGCTTGGAAAGACTTTAAAAACACATTTTAAATGACGTCAGGTTATCACGCGCGCACATTTTCGCATAATTTCAAATATGAAAATCAAATGCGTCATATGAAGACTCTTTATGAATTATTTCAGTCAGTGACATATTATTACTACGTTTACTTTACATACTGTACTGTACAGTACCCCCCCCCCCTCCATAAAGAGAAGGACAGCAACACAATATGAATCTGCAGTCACACTGAAACTCAACACTTTCCATTTTTACTGCTAATCTAAAAAGGTATTTATCAAAATGTAAAAATATTTAATAGAGCTCCAGAAAACTCCTCAAAATGAATGTAATCTAATAACAAATGATTGAAATGAAAGGAATTCCCAAACATCACATTTTTATTGTTTGCCTACAATAAAAATACCAGATCCTGACAAGACATGTACAACGCTGTAGAGAAACAATAATACTATTTAATGATTATTAATTTTATAGGCTTTTGAGATAAGGTAAGCAAACATATCCACTTTTTGATCATCTGTGTATGAGAATTTTCAAGGGCTTCGTGGAGCAAATTCATGTAAAAATGTGTGAAGATTTTGTAATCATTAAAAGGTACACCTTAAGAAAGATAAAACAGGCCTAAGTCAATAATATATAAGTCAGAAGCTGCCAAGGCCAATGTGGGATTTCCACTATAAAGCCTAGCCATTAGTTACTTGTGTTTGTCATAATGTGTCCTGTTTTCTTCATGATCTCTCGTGTTTGTTTTACATCAGCTGTTTCCTTAGTGCAATGCTTGCCACTGATAGATGGCTTGCATGAAAAACAGACTGTGATGCCGTGTGCAGGTCTCTTAGTGGCAGCTCTTTTCTGATTTACACACTGCAGCAGGCTTGATCAATAGAAGGGGGGTTCCTTTAAAACTGGCCTGCACAAAATAATGTGTCTGACTCTCTCCCTCAGCATCCCTGCAACCTCAGCAAAAGATGGGAAACCCTGCAAACTGGTGACGGGAGAGAAAAGACAAAAACAATCAGGAGAGCAACATTTGCACGACAGAGAGCCAGGCAGCTGATGCACTGATTCAGGATTATTTCATCCTGACTGACGACATTTGCTACCACAAAAAACAAAAAGCTGTTTTTATAATGCTTCTTCTGTGTTTTTAGGAGTACTGCCGTGTACCGAGCACTCCCTCTGTATTGTGTTAATGGTTACACTACAGCCTGGGAACAGTGAAAGTGTGCTGATCCAGCACCTTCATCTATCTGACTTCAGTCCACTCTCCCAGGGTGGATGGGCTGCTGCACATGCATCAGACCTGCATTAACAACTACAGTTTAAAAAGCGGCGTGTGCTGAATGTATACTTTGCTATCCAAAGCACACCTGGGCCCAGCACTGACGCAGCAAGAACTACTGATCAGGGTTACTATAGGAAACACAAAATGCTTTTAAAGTAAGCTTTTCAGATCAGAGCTTACTGTATGTTTGCCAACTAATGCAGGTGACACGTTTTCCTCTGAGTGAAGAATTTGAGTTTGATTTCCATATCAACGAAATCCTGCACAGTTCATGTATTTTCTTTGGATATGTACCTTCCTCAAAATCTAAACTTACCTTTTGTCTGATAAACTGAAATGTATCTTAAGCTAGCAAACACTAAAGACTGCTTTAACTTCATGAACATATTGACATTACAGAAGTAACACACGAAAGTCATGTGTAAAATATATTTTAAGTGGTTCTGTTCTCACACCAGACATCATACAAAGACCCTATGGATTATTTATAGTAAACAAAACATAGCCTTAATTCTTAGACCAACTAAAACAATTTAAGGTACATTGTAGATCTTTTTATGGCTGTGTGTATAGCCTTTTGTAAGGTCCCAACAAATGTAACTGTACTTACCTACACACATCTTAAATTCTTAATAGCAGGTTTGGTGAACATTTCCTTTACTCCACACAGCAGTGATCCATGTTTGTTGAACTAAATCGATTATCTGTTCATTATATTGTTTTCTGCTGCCTGAAAGTAAAAGAGCCGATTAAATTCACCGGCTTCAAATGGAGATAATGGCTCAACGGTTTTTATATCACATTACATCACACTGCAGAAGACATGCTGCAACATACTGCATTATCAGGCGATTTTGTTTCATATGTCAATAGTTGGAAAGGCCTAATGCATTTCCAAGAGCAGAAGGCGCATTAAGCATGCCTGTGTCTGCTAACATTAGCAGAGAATAAGAGGAACCACGGGTAATTACATTCCACTGCACTGTGGAGGCTTGAGATGGTTTAATTAAGAGAAATGACACACATAAAGTAAAGCCCCTTGTTCATCCTCAAGCTATTTTGAGTCCAAATGCCATTAGAAATTAGGTTTTTTCAATATAAACAGAAAATGCAAGTGTTCACGAACAACCACATGCTCCCGAGAAGCATTTGTATTCATTTAGCGTCCTTAAAATATCTACTAATTATACACGTTCACAGAGGAGGGAATTAATCAGTGACATCAGCCCGAGTCACTTTTGTTTTAATGAACACCTGGAGGAAGTTTCCACACCAGCTGTTGCTCCAGCCTTTGACCTCATTACAATATCTGGATTGATAATCCATCAGCCTTTTAAAAACACACAAAGTCCAGACGAGGTGAAGAAGAAGATCTCACAGTTAGAAGAACTCACTTTGTTTTCTTATTATAGTCATTCTCCAGTGGTGTCCTCCTGGCACGGTGGAAGTACAGGGAAGCTACTTTTCGCCATGTTTTTCTCTTTCTTCAGGGTCTTCAGGCACTTTTCGAGCCTTTTCATGCACAGGGTCACGTCCTCCCGCGTGATGCCCACAGCCGAGGCAGCGTTAAGGTACGGACACGGGTAAGCATCGGAGTGAGACGTGAAGCCTCGGAACGTGTGTCCACCGATGGTCTGCTCCTTGCCCAGCGGTATTACCCTACAGACAGGGGTGGAAAACAAGGATAACGTGGAACAATAATGTTATTTAGCATGTCCGGGAAATCCTTTTTTATGACTACGACCTGGCTAAAGCTGAAGCTGTTCACTTGACGGACAAATACTTGTTTTAAATCAAATTATTTGACTTGGTGATATCACATGTAATGAAGGAGATACATTGGTTAGTCAACAAAAATATTATCTACAGTAAACTAGTCATTAGAAAACAAAATATATTTAATCTAACTCCATTCTTTACTACTCGGTCAACATTTGGGAAGCGGTAGTTATAAGAATTTGTCATTGATGATGTTTTCTCGCAATTTCACTGCAAGTGCTGTGATTTTTAGGATTTGTGTTGAATTTATAGTATGGTGAATTTGTAAGCAAGCCGATCCAGCAGATGTGAGACCATTATGGAGAAGAAATGCATTCATATAATACAGAGCTCTTAATATGTTGCACATTGTTGATGTAAAAAAAAGCACTGCATGAAATAATGACCTAAATAAATCATTCGGGATATTTTAAATATTTAGATGGGCTCCCAAGCTTTGTCCATCGAAGGGGAAAATTGAGAAAATGAATTTGTTTTTCAGCTTTGAGGCAACAAAAGAACAGACCCTAACATGGTGTCAGTGTTTGTGCCCGCGGCTCCAGTGGAGACAACAGCGCTCCGTGATGGAAACATCCCGGGAAATTAGGATGGGCGGTGTAATCTTCTAAAGTGGTTGCTGTTCCCTGAGATTCAGCAGATCCATCCGGCCGATTGCCGCACAGCTCAGGCACACAAACCTAATTTTGCCTAACCTCCACACCCTCTTGTTTTCACTCCCCTCCCCATGTTCCCCTTTCCAGGCCAGATTGTGGCCCCTTTAAAAAGTGTTCATACCTAAATACAGCCTATGGTTCTTACCTGGCTCCTGACACTTGCCGGGTGAACAGCATGGAGCCCAGCTGAGTCACCGCCCCGTTGCTCTCCGCCTGGAGACCATCCAGAGACATGGCTGGGGGGGAGGGGGGGGAAGAGAGGTGCCACACCCAACACACAAACAATGATTATACTGTAAAATACATTTGATTTATAGAGTGCTTTTCAAGAAACTCACAGCCATGTTTAAGAGTGAAAATGCATAAAAAACTACACGCTACACATGAAATATCAAAATAATGTACTTGCATATGTTACAGATGCTTTAGTTAAAAAAAAAGCTATTGGCAACTATTGATAGAATTCGATTGATAGTCATTTTTCATGTTAATAATGTAAGAAAATGCAGTTTTCAGCCTCCCAAATATGCAGATCTCCTGCTTTCCTCCGTTTAAATGTAAGAATATATTTGAGTTCTGATCTGACAATGGACATGGACCATCCAAAGACCTTTGGATTTTGAGAAACTAGGATGGGCATTTTTCATTTTTCTGACATTTTATAGATCAAATGATGAGCAATCATTTCTTGCAGCACTAATATAAGTTCAGAAAATGTAGCTTTCACCATTGAAAAAACCCAAAATGTATGGACAAAATAGAGTGTGTATTCATGATGCCTGTACATGGAGCTTACCCAGGGAAATGGGGTTATGTGGGGTGTTCAGCAGCCTCTCCCCGTGTGCAGAGGCGAGACTCTTCAGCTCCTGAGCCAGCAGCAAATAAATCTCCTGCAGGACATGCGTACACAGGCAGAGGCATGGAGACACAGAAGTAGAGGGGGGGGCCATACAAAAGAGCTATAAATAGAAAACTCTGCCACAGTCTTATTTTAGCAGCAGCAGCCTCGGTTTTATTGCTAATCAAGCAAAATCTACCGGCAAGCAGACTGGTCCATGTCCAGACCCCCTCCCTTATCTCCCCCCTGTCTCCAGAGAGGCAGGAGAGGAGGAACACATGCTTTAATCCAGTGATTCTAACACCTAAATGTTTGAAATATGATGACAAGTGTTTGATTCTCAATGCAGTGTGTGTGGGCTCTGAATAAAAGGTGGAGTACACAGATGTTATGATGCCAGGACATGAAGAGGAGCCGCACAACAATAAATCAGTGTTTCTGTTGCTGGCTGCCCCAGTGAAGCGTCGCATATTAAAGCATCTGCTCTCTGCTACAGCGTGTGTGTGTGTGTGTCTCCTGCGTACTTTGCTGACTCATACTATTCTAATTCGAAAGCACCAAGAAGGAAAATATTTTCTGTCAAGAGTCGAACACAAGTGTCTCCAAGTGTCCCTTGTTCTCCAGCAACAATGGACGACTTTCTTACCCCTGCAGAGGAGGGGGTGCACGGCCACGACTCTGCAGACAATAACTGTGTGTGTGTGTGTGTGTGTGTGTGTGTGTGTGTGTGTGTGTGTGTGTGTGTGTGTGTGTGTGTGTGTGTGTGTGTGTGTGTGTGTGTGTGTGATGACTAAACCCCATCCTACCTAAAAAAACACACATCATCTGCTGGTTCTTTGCAATTTCTACCATAACGGTTACATGAGTCTGTGAATTATCAGATGAAAAGTCTGAATTATTTAAAGCTTGTGACCCTGTGGGGGATGTGGGGAAATCACTCACTTCTGCAGACACTATGGAAAACGCGTCCTGCACATTAATTATAAATAATGTGGAGCGAGGGAAATCAATAAGCTTTGATCGGGTCATCGGAGAGGCCCGAGGTATTTCCTAAATGTATATTTCTGCTACGCTTTCCCGCAGAGGGCATTGTGGGGGTTGTATGACATCTTGTAGTTGTGTCATCTTTGGGTTTCATGACCAGATTGTGATTACTTGTTTTCTTAAAGGATTTTACTGATAAACATGAGAGAAAAGAAGATTTATCATCCACAGTTCATTCTTAAAAAAAGACCGTTGATGGAGATTTAAGAGTCATTTGTTTCAGCGTCTTACCGAGGTTTGAGCATCAACATAAAACAGATAAAGTCACATGTACAGTTTGTGGAGGAGCAGTTGGGAGGTGTGAGAGTGCTGCAGTGAATCCTGTTTTAAGAGGGGGGGATGCTGCATTGTGAGAAAAGTCTGCTTTAAACGGGGGAGCCACCAGGGGATGTTTTCTGAAACTTCTGGATCAATTTCATCCTGCTATAGCACACGCCTCCCTTTACACTGACTCGCTCAAGTTCAAAGTCTCTTTCCTCAGTCAGAATGCAGGTAAAGAGACACGCACACACACACACACACACACACACACACACACACCAGGAAGTCAGAGAGAGTGATCCACTGCAATTCAATACAACTTATGTAAGCTGTTCTCGTCAGTTTTCCGGAGAGAGATGTTGACACAGCACACACAGAAACATAGTCAGGCTGACATTGCCGCAGTATTTTCCTTCTACCAATCCATGTTGTTTTTATCACACCATCTGGAATATGACTGTTTTTTTTATATTAATAATTACATTTATTTCCCCTTCCTTCCAATCTCGCTTTCCCAACGCCTCATACACAAGTTAAAATCTGATATTGTGGACATGGAAGCATCCTGCAGATATAAAACTCCGCCTGAAAGACATGATTAAATAAATGTGGTATTGTGAGCTGATGTGTGCACGCTCTCACCTTCCTCTCTGACAGGAGCTTCTTGTAGCCGCTGGCTCCCAGGGTGAGGAGGGTGATGAGGACGTCCAGGGAAGGAGAGGCGGACGCTCGACCTGGACAAAAGGGGACATCAAGTGACTTTGTGCATACAGTAACTGATTATAGGTAGAGATATCTACTCCTCATATTAACCTCGAGGACAAAATAAGCATTGGTGGCCGTAAAGGTAAAGCATCACATGAGTTCTTTTTCAAATCCCTGACAAAATATCAGGGATAAACCAAATACTTTAAAGTGGCCCTATCATGCTATATTTGAATAATATATTGTAGGGCCATACCTATATAAAACATGTCTGTGAAGTTTTCTTTTCAAAATACCAAACAGATCATGCATTTTAGCCATGCCTCATTTCGCTCCATTTGCTCTTTTCCAGCTCTGTTTTTGCAAGGGCTGATTCTGTGAGAAGTCTTCTTCACTGCTTTTGTGACTACAGCGCCACTTAAAGGCCTGGCATATGTATTACAGCGTCTCCAGCGCTTTCGAGCAGCAACGGCCGTGGCCCAACCCCCCATTCCCCTGATAGGTGGAGAGTTGCCCATATAGGCAGAGCTCCCTGTTTCTGACGTCAGAACAATTTCAAATCTGTATCAGATCCGTTGCAGCCCCGTTTTTAGAGATTTGGGTATGGAGGAAAAGAGAGAGGGTTGTGTTTTCTGACACTTGGTGAGTTCCCTGACACACCGGGGACACATATTCATGTATAAAAGACGTACAAAAGTGCATTTTGCATGATAGGTCCCCTTTAAAGCTTAATTAATACATTTGACATTCAAATTGTAAGTCCACAATTAAATGCTGTGCAGCTTTCTTGTGTAGGTCTACTGATCATGTTTAAAGGCAGTGTGTGTGCACAGCTGCAGATAAAAATGAGGCTACAGTAATCTTATTTATATTATACTATTTGCAAAACATTTTTACCAGTGTCGTCAAATCAAACATTTAAAATAACTCAAAAGCATTGTAAGATCCAAAAGTGTATTTATTTATTTATTGATAAAAAAGGTTAAGAAACTAATAAAAAGTGATCAGTTTGAAAAGCAGTTGGGTATAGAAATACAACAAATATTTTAAAATGTCTGATTATAATATTTGTTTTTGTTTCTGTGAGCTCATATGTCAGAGAATGTTTTTGTTCTGATTCAAAATAAATTCCCTCCCAATAACTGGGTTCATATCCCTCATTCCACTAGATTGTAATAGGTGTCCATGTGATAATCATTTAGAGGAAACGTTTTGCAATAAATAAATCGTGAAAAAAATAAAAATAAAGAAATCCCACTTGACTCACCTGGGTACATCTGGCTGATCTCCTGTACGAAGGACTCGTCGAAGCCTGCGATGATGGCGCCACCTACTGGAACCATGAAGTTCTTGTCCAAGCTCTGCACAAAGGCGTCAATTCTTCCGACACGAGCCCCCTGACGACAGACAGCCAACACCAAACTGTCACCAACGGGTAAAGTGCATATGAGGGCCAATTACAAGCGATATAGTGTGTGGAACCCACCTGTTGGATGAGGTGCATGCATTTAGACGATTGCACTCCGTATGCATTGTTCACAATGTGGGGAATGTTCTGTTTGGCACACAGAATGGACAGCTCCTCCAGCCTATAGGACAAGATCATAAACAATCATCAGAATTCATTCACTTTTGATCCGAATTTGGCTAATTAATTTGTCATAGCAGCGTAAACAAGGGCTTGAGCATTAATTAAAAATAAAATTAATTAGAAAATAAACATTAAGAGTAAAACATACTTATCAACAGTGAAACATAAATATTTATAGGGTGTCTCAATCAAATTTAACAATATAAACATGTAGATAAGTTGGTATACACTATATTAGACCTAGTAAATACTCAAAAATGTAAACATAGGATACTATTCACATTATACGAGTGTTAAAAATGAATAATTTCTTAGTACTTCCTGTTGTACCAGGCTTCCCCTTCCCAAGGTTACCCTCAATTCTGTCGAGCTCTCATTGGCTGCAATCCAAAAACTGTCAGCAAGCGGGAAATCTAGGCTAAGGTCTTCAGTGTGGGGTAGGTGAAAGGCTGTGAATGAACATTATTCACCTGTCGGGGACCCGCGGGGCGAAGCAGGAAGTAGTTGAATGAACACACAGGATGTTCTCGGCTCCGAGCTCCTCGATCTTGCGCTCAACTGCTTCCAGGTCTGTCCGCAGCTCATCGCCCTCCAGAACGTTCTCCACCACCACCGGCTCAAATCCTGAGGAAACAGTGAAGTAAGAGCAGGAGGCGGAGGAAGCCCTGTGATGATGTTATGAGGAAGGAACACATGTCTAACTAGCATCGGGGAGAAAATGCCAACAGAAAGTGCAAAGATTGTGTCTGTCATCACATACTTCAACAAATATGCTTTACATGGCACCATTTCAGATATATTCTCCAAGAAATGGCCATCTGCTGCCATATTTCTGTCTGTGTGAGCAGGAAGTGAGGGTGACTGATGGGATTTTCACCTGCTGTGATCATGGCTTTGAAACAGGACTTCTGGTCGATGCGAGGCCAAATGATGTAGCGAGCTTTGGGTCTTCGGTGGCGAAGGGTCAGGAAGCACAGAGTCAAGCTCATTCCTGTTGCCAAGGGAACTACAAAGCAGCTGGCCACACTCCGGACACCTGAGGAGCAACGCATGGTTATAAAAATGTATTTTTTTTGTACTGTAAACTGAATCCTAACGCAAAGGTTAATTTTATTTTTGTATTTTGATCAAGAGGTTTGCTATATGAACAACTTTGTGCTCTAGTAAACAATTTTAGTCTTTTTTCTTTTGTTGTAAATATATGAATGGTGATGACACAGCAAAAGAGGTCACACCCACAAAGCATAATAAACATCCAATAAATTAATGCAAGGGCATGACTTCATCTGTTTTTTCCCGGTCTAAGCACATCTTTCAGTGGCTTCAACATAACAAAAATAAAACACATTCCTTGATACAAATATTCAATTTTCTTGCAAAGTAGTTTTCATAATAAATACACACCTGAGAGCTTTAAGATGTCCAACACCACAGAGTTGGTGAGCTTGTTGAGCAGACTGGATCCTGCAGCTTTGGGCTGGACGGCAGCGATGTCACCTGACCGACCGATGCCATGGATCAACCTTCAAAACAAACAGGAAGCGTTCAACATTCACTGGACACTAGAGAAGATTTGTATTACTTCTGATCATTTTGAGTACTATATTGAGTAGAGCCCAAGCGTTATTAGTATGGGCAATGTGAACTTATCATACACGAGTAAGTTTACAGTGTTATTGTTGGCTAGGCACAATTAAGATGTTTTTAACACTTAAATACACAGCCTTATTTGGTTGAAACTCTTAAATAACTAATATAATTAGGAGCCTCATCACATACTCTTATGAAAAAATAATCTATGTAGGTTTCCCACAGCATGAAGGAAGCTAGATTCAACACTTTTTTTTGTATTCCCCCCAACAATTTTACAGGCAACTTAATCCGGATCGGCATAACGTTATATATTTATTTTAAACAGATGTTGACTGTGTTAATTCCCTAAAAAAATTAAACTGCCTGTAAATACCTGTCCCCCTTTTTTCAGATTTTAGAAGGCAATGACCGAAAGAAAACATCATAAAACCGTACTTCCCATAACTGAGCAACTAAAAGACTTTTAAAAGGGATTATTTTAAGACAATTTAATAGGAATCGGGACCTAATTTCAGATCAATTAATTCAATGACTTTGCTATTTTTATAAAAATAAAGAGAACCCTGATAACGACCAAATTGTATTAAGTCACATCAATATCTGCCTCACAAAGCTATATTACTGGGATCAAATGTTGTGTGGCATAAAATGAGCTATACAAATTTAGAGACCTAATTCAATCTACCTAAATCTATCTAGTAAAAATATGTGTATTTTCGCATTGGACACAACATTATACAGATGTGTGTTATAAAAGGTCAAACTTGTAGTGTCTCCTGGCCACGAGGCTGGAGGCCACGCGGCCCTCCCTCTCTCCGACCCCGCAGTTTCCCAGGAAGTTATTACTGTCCATCACAGCCAGCTCGCTGAGGAAGAGCTCCACGGTGCTCTCACTCCATCCCTCCTCTGGACACTTTCCCTGTGACACACAATGAGAGAAGCTGATGAATCTGCAGCGACCTTAAGGAGACATGAAGCTGAGGACGGTACCTGCTCCAGCAAGAGTCTGATCAGCTGCTCATGGCTGCGGCGCGCCTGACTGCCCTGTCGAACGTAAGAGGTCGACACGATCTTCTCACTCAGGCTGAAATTCTCACTGTTCATCTCTGGAAAACAAATATGTTGAGATCACTCCAAAGGCACATCATTTCAATATATGAATTTAATTGTGCTTGATATTTCAGTTCAGTGGAAAATAAGTGTAATTGTATCCACTTTTGGTCTCATGTTTTAAAAATAAGCAGGTATTTAGCTTGTTACTTTTATATCATATTTAAATACTGTTGGTCTATAAGTATTAAGACATTATAGTACCAAAAGTATCAAAAATGAAACGAGAAACCAGGGAACACAGACTTGTATGAACGTAAAGAACAACACGTTTAAAGACAACTCCTTGGACATTTTAATGACAATATTGTTTTTAATTGGTTCATCTGCATAATATGTTTTAGAGCAATTCTTGGTCTGTAAATGTCAGAAAACAAAGGAAATTGTACACACAGTTAAGTTTCTCAAACCCAAGTTGTTCTCTTTTTTTGCATTGAAAAGAATAGTGATCCGACTATTCGTTCAGACGATCACAATGGATATAAACATGTGGCTTTGCTGTGTAAAATAATCCCCAACAGTTTGATTTGAGGGTGTGTATGATCCTGACTTTAGGTGAAGCAGTATTATATGTATTTAAGGTTTGTCAAATGAATGCATAATTGCAGCTTATGAACAATACAATTGAGAAAAACATACACATTTAAGTTTTCTTGGGGAAATAATGCGATTGCACACTGAAAAGCTGCAAGGCTGTGGGGAAATAATTAAACAAAATTCTGCATTTACATCTGATCATTGTAAGCCTACTATAAAAGAGATGTTTACTGTCAGTGAGGCCTGGGAAAATAAAGTATTAGATACATGGTAAGGCTACATGTTTATCTTTCCTATTAAGACAGGTTTAGTGTCTCATTCAGACCATGTTTAATCTCGAGTAGAAGCATATTCAAACAGGAAACGCGGTCTTATACCGTTGTTAAAAAAATACAAAAGTTGTGAATTTTTTAATTATTGCTAAAGTTAGCATGTCTACAATTCTGATTACAAGCTACCTCTAGTTGTTTACCTCTTAGCATAGCTGCTAGCAGCTCGTGTCGGCTAAGCTAATGTTTTCACACGAGGAACAAGAGCGTGCAGCTTAACAGGGATGATTTAGTAATTGACCGTTTATTATTATCAATAAATAAAAAAGATATCTTCTTACCTGACAGCTTTCAAACCAGCCTCCCAACTACAGGCATGAGCATACAGCAGGAGGAAGCAGCTTCTTCGTGTTCATTAAAGAAAGTGCAGCTAACAACCAGAGTGTTGCACTGCCGCCCCCTGCTGGAGGAAAGTAACTACTGCGGTCACATCAGCCTGCTCCACTTCCACCTTACTCAAGCACTCTTTATTATTCCTGCCATTCATTTATGCTTATAATTATATAATTTATAACACCACGAGTGAGTTATTCATATAAAAAAAAAGCCTAAAGATGTAATAGGTCATTTTGCAACTGTGACAAGACTTGAAGTGTTTTCTTGTTTGCAAACAACAAATTGTGGTCATATTTTTTATTCAATCATTAGAAAATGGACAACAAAATATTACAGCTTTCAAGATAAACGTTTTAATGTAAAATTATATTCCTGCAAAGAAAGAATACCTTTTTATTTCAAATTGTTTAGCTTATGAATTCGAATTTTATTTGAAGTCAATGCAGAAATCCCCCCCCCACCCCACAAAAAAATGGTTTAATACAAATATATAAGTGTCTAGTGCAGTCTAAGAGGACAGGGTATAAAGACATTATTTAGCTTGTATTTCAAAACTAGATGTCTCATGAGTTGAGTTATAAAAGTAGTCAACAATGGACACACACACACACACACACACACACACACACACACACACACACACACACACACACACACACACACACACACACACACACACACACACACACACACACACACACACACACACACACACACACACACACACACACACACACACACACACACACACCACACACACACACACACACACACACACACACACACACACACACACACACACACACACACACACACACACACACACACACACACACAATTAGAGGCTTCAGAAACATTTTCACAGAACAGGCACTTTATTTCAGCTCTTTGGCAAATTGTATTGGAATTATTTGCAACATTAGGAGAACAATTAAAAGGCTAATAGTATGGTGACCAACAGTAATGGGGCAAAGCAGGAAGTTTATCCAAACTAAAGCAAAGTAGCAAGATTCAAATGGTAAATTTACAAGAAAAAGTTGTACATTCAAATTTACTCAGGTATAAAATATTTAAAAAGTAAATAGAGAATTGAAAGTTATTGTGAATATTATGCAGAATTACTTCTTTCAGAATGTGCTTTTATTAAAATATTACAAATATAAGTGGATTATTTTTACTGATGTGGAAATTGGTCACACTGACCAAGATTTTAATAATTTTAACTGCGTACATAAATATAAAGCATTGCATTTTATGGAAATATTAGTCGTATATACAATTCTAAATATTTAGGATAAACAAACGAGTTAAGTAAAAGAATATACATGTATTGTAAAATCAACATTAAATGTCCCAAGTGACAAGAGAGCACATTGTCCTCACACACAGGCAGATTATTTTAAATATCATTTCTTAGCCTTTCATTAGTAAATTACATTTGTCATGCATTCACAAGATTCAAAATGGTCATGATTTAAGCCACAATAAAATCACTTCAAAGACAGGAAATAACCGAGTTTCTGGAAGAGTTCTTTTTGTGAACAGGTTCAAATCCTGGGTGTTTTTTTGCTGCAGAGGGGGGAGAAAGATGGCAATGTGATGGCATAGCAGGGTTTTAACTTCATCAGCTATGCCAACATCTTGCCTTCCTTCCTGGACCCAGGTTAGGCTCACACAGGTGGTTGGAACAGTCCATTCGAGCACATGACACACCAACACATAATAACATGCAGACATGTTAGACTTGTAAAACAACGAGCCGCACGCGGCACGCGGGACAGGGGAGTGCGTAATTTGCTCAAAAACGACACAAACATGCTGTGATATCTCAAAAATAGGATGTTTAAGTTAATAATGATATACATTTTTATTTGTAAAGCACTTTTCATGCAAGATTGTTTACATCAGGCCAGACTTTAAAACCTTTTGTACTTTACAACATGTTGTAACACTTTAACACTTTAAGAGAAACAGCAGGTAAAAGGTATGATAATACAAAATAAAACACAATCAAATAAATATATGATCCCTCTTGGTCAAATAAAGGAATACAAAACCAATAAATACGATAACACATACAAAATCTATTCAATAAATAAAACAATACAAAAATAAAATAAATGCAAATAAGATAATAAAATAAATAATTCATAGGAATAAAAAAAGTGTAAATGTTTCAAAGACCAACTTAAAAAAGGGGAAAGTCGCTAATAAAAAAAGTCAAAACCGTAGAAATAAATAAAACAATATAAAATAAAGAAATAATAGAGAATAAAAGACCATTTAAAAGTGTGGAGTCGCTAGTAAAAAGCGAGGCTCCAGTAGCCGGGACTACCCTCTCACCTACCTGTGGCTGCCCGCTCTCCGAGCCTCATGTCCGGCTCTCTCGCTCTGTGTCCCGGCTCCATGTCTCCGCACCAGGCGCCAGCAGAGTGAAGTAGGCTGAGGGTGGAGGAGATAAGGCTGTCCGCCGCCCAGCAGCAAGCAGCAGCCGGTGTGTGACTGGCGGTGCTAGAGCGGGAGGTGTGTTAAGGTTGGCGGCTGCACACTGCACCTAGTGCTGACGAGGAATCTAATTGGCCCAAATTGGAACGGGACACCCACTTCTGAGGGGAGAAAACCGCCTAAACTTATCCCAAAACCAAATAATTCTGTCGTAAAATGTCTCATGGGTAAAATCTAAAAATAGCCTCTAAATAGGCACTGAAATACTCTCACAAGATAGATAGATAGATAGATAGATATTGGATTATATACATTATAATTGTGCAAAGTAGCTGTTGTGCAAATTGTTGTGGGTTATACAGTAGAAAAAGGAGACACTTTACACCCTATGGAGCAGTGAGTTCTCTCTCTTTATAAGTGTAATATTACACAACCTAATTAACATCCTAATGTCCTAACACGTCCTAGGAAAGATGAAGAAGATGTTTTACTGTATTTAATGCTGTGGTTAATTTGGAAAAAGTTGATATATCATGAAACATTGTCGAAACCTCTTCTATCGTGCAGTCACGTATGGCCTACATCTTGGGGTAATTACTTTGTTTCCCTTACTGGCACCTTACATTGAAATTATAGAAAGAAATTCCCTTTACAGTACAAGTACTCTAAAATATCCTTCTACAACCTTTAATAACACTCAGGACAATAAAGACAAGTTATACGGAGTTCATTTTCTCTAAAATTGAGAATATTTTTACCAAAACACTGCTTCTGTCCATGAAGTCAAAAATGGTCAATTCCCATTCCCAGTTTTCCAGACTTGCTGATCCTCACACAAAATAAAATAAACCAGCAGAATCTGGTTAATTAATGAATCACACAGAGTGATTCAAAATCTGTCTAGACCTGCCTGAATGTGGTTTCACAGAAAGCATATTTTTTGTGGGAAAAAACTCTTTCTGGCCCTTAATCATCAACTCTGCTTGCAAACAGACATTATAGATAGAAATACAATAATTTAAAATCATATACACTAAGTCAAATTAAAGTACAGCTGCACTGATTCATGATTAACTACAAAAGAGAATTAGAGAGTACTTTTTTTTATTATTTCCAAAAACCAAGAGCACCTTCTTTACACTTGTTTCAACTTCCCACCTCTCTGGACCTTTCATTTTCAGAAGAAACAAGGACATTTTTTTTAAATGTTGGGAAAGAGTTGTAACGGTAATTTTTAGGTGCATATATCACAATGTAAATATGAAGCGCATACATATAAGATGATGAAGAAGGCATAATTATTTCTTTTTAAACATTTTGACAATCCTAAAGTTGACTTTCGTACCTTTGGCATGGATGAGTCACTTCGTAAAGGTGTCGACACGGCCGCACCTGTGCCTCCCACAGAGCAAACACCTTAGAGGTAAAGTTACTGTACAGGACCTGACAGGGCCATGTTTCCATTACGACAATGAGCGTTTGTTTATCATGGTTATTGCGTTGTAAATACATATGGTTAGTTATAATCTATGCAAAGAATTTTAATTTGACATTAATTGAAACAGGTGATGTGGAGACTCCTGAGAGTCGGCTTCTGGCCAGATTTTAAGGTGTGTCTGCTTGGGATGATTTGTATCAAATCAGCATGCGAACGTTCAGTAATACGTTGTGCTGATTAAACCTGTATATCCTCCTGGGACCCAGCCCATTGAAATTGTCCACTGTAGTGGACATTTTGTTAACATGCATCTCCTTTTACTCTTTTAAGCTACTCTATCAATCCCTGATGTACTGTAGAGAGGACATCCTGGTCTTTCCAGTGATATGTCATTGGTTAAAATTGCATGCTGGGAAGTTCCTCTTTCTTTTCATCCAAAATGGCTGGCATACCAAAAACAAAATGTTATAGAAGCAGGAGGAGAAGTCAAATATTGTTGAATAATTGTAATTTTTACCATGAAAATCATATATGTTCTTGTTTATTAACATGTGTTTATTAACACTATATCATTAGTTCTGAAAGCAATTAAATAATTCAAGTTTTCAAATAACAGCCCTTTTATAAATGTCCATTCTAGTGGACGTCAGGACCATCTTCATGGACTTTATGACTCAATATTGTTGCAGGAGACGGAACTGAAGCAGACATTTTCTGTACCAGATAGTTAAGGGAGATTCAGATTTGGAGCTCTCAGATGATGAGAGAGATGAGGCTTTCACACCTGGGATAGAAGAGGGTCAAGAGGAAGGGGGGGGGGGAAGATGCAGGAGGCTCCATGAGCGCACAGATACAGACATAGAGACAGATAGGGACGAGCTGGAAAGACATGGCCCTCTGTGGGCCAAGAGTAGCACGCATGTCTTATTGTTGTTTTTATTTTAAGTGGAGCCATGAAAAATGACAATTGCCTCAGGAATGCCAAGTAATTGCAGCATCCTGGCAAGGACAAGAAGATTCGGAGACAGTTTCTTCCCGCGGGCAGTGAGACTGTTAAAAAATTGAACTGTTGAAACAACTTCAAAACATTCATCTGCTACTCAGTATTATGTATCTAATACCTAATATATATATATATATCATTCCAATAACTTGTATATAGACTCGTACTGCACTATTCCACATCAT